CTATTGCAGATACTATGGACTGCTGCCCCTTGGCATATGCTACAATAATCTTTTACTAAATACTTTTAAGCGGCAATTAACGCAGCAGATTATACTCAACATTCGGATGCATTGAGCTTAAACTTTTGCTTATTTTCCAGCGATTTTGTTGCCTTTTAATGCCCCCTTTGTGATTATTTTTTCAACATTTTTTCTTCATGTTTTTCTTATTTTCATTTTTAATTTTTCATTTTGTTCTGCTTTTAAGCTTTTTTTTTTATTTGCATTATTTTTCATTTTATCTTTGTATTTATGTCTGCAATTTTTTTCTGTTTCATACAATGCAGTTTCCTGTTTAATTTATGATGGAGTTCAGCTTGAAACGTTAATATTCAAGTGGAATTTATTTATTTATTCTTTTAGATTATTTTTCTGTTAATTTATTTTGTGTTGATTTTTTCTCATCTCCACAGAATCATAAAAATTCGTTTGTTACAATCCAAACAATGTGACAACAAAAATGGTCCCATACTAACTGGCTAAGATTATTTCTAGTATTTTCTGCTCCTCAGCAGCGGTACTTCTCCATTTCTTCTTCCTTTTTTGTTTGTTATTTTTGCTTAATTTCAATTTTAATTCTGTCTTGTTGCGCTTCTTAACTTGCTTTAGGGTCGCGTTTTTTCCTTTCTTTACTTAATATTTGTTCTGTTGTTCCTTTACTATATTTTTTTAATATTTTTTTTTCATACTTTTTTCTTTTATTTTTACATATATTTTTGTATTTTATTTTTTTTCGTGAATATTTCGTTATCACATTTTTTTGGCGATATTTTTTGTGCTAAAGCCTTCAGTTGCCAAATTAAAATAGAAATTGTCGCAAAGGGAAAACATTATGAAATTATAGCAAACAAAATAACAAACATTTTAAAGTCGTTATTAATTCCTGTAAGGACAAAGGCATAAAGTAACCATTTCGGTATCTTGTATTTTATAATTCCATTTTTATATTTCTCATATTTTCTTCTCGCTTTTCCCGTAGCGCTTCGTGCAGCGATACTGGCACGACCTCTGTCTCTACTACTGTGTGCATGTTTTGCTTGTGTGTGCGCTTGTGTGTGTGTGTGTGCGTGCCGTGTTTTAGTTTAATTAATATTTACACAAGTGTAAATGGCATTTGTGTCCTTTTTTAATTCAGCTAAACTGTTTTTTGTAAATATTTGTTAAATTATTAAGAAAGATACTTTTCGCAAACAGTGTCAAATGGATTTTTAAATTTTAAATTAACAAAATCAATTTACGAAACATAAAAATACTAAAAATTAATAACATATTCCCGAAGGTGAAAATAGAATATTTTTACATTTTATCGCAGAGAGTCGAGAAGTAATGAATTTTTAATGAATTTTAAACAGTTATTGAATTCATTTTGAGTAAAAAATTGAACATACATATACTTTTCGTTTTAGTTTTAAAGAAGTATATGAGAAGGTTAGTCAAATTGTTAAAGGTTAATTTTAGTCATTTAGTAAAACTTTCTTAGCATACAATCTTATATATTATCTTATATTAACAAGAATTAATACAGTGCTTCTTATAAGAATAGAAATAAACGGGTTCTATCTACCAACGTAGCGGAGCACTGCGACCATAGTTGATCTTTTGTGCTGCAATAGACCCCAACCGAACAGAAGACATTCCGTCTTTTGAATGAAAGTCAGGATGTCGGCCGTTGAAGACCTTCTAATGTAGGAGGGGAAGAGTAGTTTTCTACCTAGTGACGAACTCCTGGCCCAGATCAAGACTGGACAGTCACAGAAAATGTGACTGGAAGTCTCGTCTGCTTCTATGTAGACTCGACAATCTATTTCTTCGAACAGCCCCATTTTGTTAAGGTGATAAAGCAGTCCATGGTGACCCGTTAAATATCTTACCAGCAACCCCAACTCTCTTCTGCTGAAGAAGGATACCTTACCATAATTGTAGGGATAAACCAGCTCCTTAGCCTGACGGTTACTTGGAATGTCGCGCCACTAGCGACTTCTCTCGGCTGAAAACCATTAATCAATCTGAGATCTAATTGTAGACCAACTTAATCCACAATATTGCTTCGGTCCACAGATTTGAATGGTAGATCCTCGCAATATTATATCTTTCTGTGTGACCATGCACCATGCTCCTTATAACTATAGTTTAAAATTTAAAACGAATTCAAACTTTTGATTTGTGTGCATTTTTCTAAAACTTTGAAAGATACATTTGACTCATGCTTTCATAAATATTTGAGAAGTATTTCATATTTAACTGTGAAAAGTGGCCAATGACAGTTTTTGCTAATCATGTCCAATGTTCTTTTGAATGGATAATTCTCCTAATGCGACAGAGATGCTATTCCTTTTGAGTGCACAACTCACTTAACCCGACAGAAATACTATTCTTGTCAAATCTCGCTTTAGAGAGCTTTCACTGTGTTATGTTTATAGTGAAAGATTAAAAAATGTTAATAAATGAATCCAACCTTATTTTCCCTCCATCATGCATCTTTTAATCGCTTCATTATAAGACATAACAATATTCTAATCGGCTGGCAAATGTGTTTTAACACCTTTCAATCCTTTTTCTACTAAATAGATTTTTTCGATCGAGTTTTCTATAGTTTAAAACTCCAGGTGCTGTTAATATATAAAATTTTGACAACAAGCTGATAAAGGAATAAACTTGTTTTAATCCTTTTAGGTTGCAGTAAGGTAGCATATGAATTACGTCTTGCCTGCATGAATGTACATATTTTTTTAAATGTCAATTTACTGCTTGATATGCCACATCCTTTACAAATAGTCAGCACAATGGTCACTTCTACTTATCCATACGGTCTATTATAGTTGCATCATTTGTTTCTACGTTATTTAACATTCACTTAGAATAATACAGATAGTTCAACAATGCATTTGCAAATTGTTTTCTACATTGGTAACGATTTGTATATATACAATACATCGCGCTGGTGGTCACAGCATCTAAGTAGCACATCGGCTGATAAGACCGTAGGATGATATACTAGCAGCACCACTAATGAAAAATCTCTATATATATATTTAAAAGTGGCAACTCTCAAATAACACATGTCAACCTTTCATGACATTTGAATTATTACTCATTTATTTTTAGCTGTTTTAGTGACTCTGCTCTTTATATTATCAGAACAATGGATTCAAGGCAGTTTTTTGATATTGTCTTGATTTATCACTACTTTTTGATGGTATAAAATGTTGCAACAGTAATAGCTATCCAGACTTTTCTCTATCAAATGTAGGTAGGAAAGTGATTTGCTGAGACTCTTAAAAGGACCGTACAAACACCGATCACACGATGGTCACGCAAAATTTGTGGTGATGTTATAATATATAAAAAAAATTCACAAAATTGTTTCGGAGAACCGCAAACTTGAACTTACAGGAGATAACTGATAACTTAAACATTTCTGGAAAAACGTCGGCTTCATATTGTATGAACATTTGTCTATGAGAAAGCACTTTTCGAAGTGGGTGACCCGTCTGCTTGCAGTTGACTGAAAACAATAATTTGTGGATAATTCAGGGAGCTATTTTAAGCTGAATTGGCTGAGTGAAGTTTGTCTTCAAGCCCTTACCTATAATTCCCTTGCGAATTATAATAGAAGAAGAGTAAGAACTAAAATTACCTGCCGCAGAATAACATTAAACGAAATTATAACAGCCAATTCACACCTTGGCAAATCATACATCAATATTATTGAACACAGAGAAGTGGCAGTTACAAGGCAATGAGGGAGGCAATTTGTAGATAGCTTATGCCCAGAGGCAATTTGGAATCATGTGACGTCAAGCAAGGCTTAATAGTACAAAACAAAAAGAACTTTTGCATCGGTGTGTGACAATCGTTGGAACCTGAATAACTACTACTCCAATGTCAAATCAGCAGTCAGCTGAATGGACTTAAGACCATCTTATCGTAGACCACTGATGATGGGTATTTGGCAAAATTCGATAGAGCTATATGGTCAGCCAAAAATTCAATTAATTAAAATAATTTAAAAGAATTTTTGTTGTTATAGTTCACTACTTTTCGAAACCTCCTTATAAAATAATATATATCAAAAAATCTATAATGTAAGTACATTTCTTCAGTTTCACTTATATAAAAATTTTATATATACGCCAAGGAAATTCAAAAATTAACTTCAAACCATGAAAATTTAATAAAAAAAAAAATATATTTATATGTCTTCCATTTCATTTTGTTAATTTAATGCCTTAGAAAATTCAACGGACTAACAAAAAATAATAATAAATCAAGGATGTTAGCAGTAACAACAAATCACAATTAAGCTTAAAAAATACTTTCATAAAGTATCTGTCGTAAAGTTTTTATTAGTATTTTTTGTTTTGCCAGTAGGATTTTTTCTAAATCAGCTACAATAAAAATTTATTGTACATAAATAGAAAATTTTTAAAATAGACTAAATAACAATAACCGAGAAGTGAATACCGGGAACTCAAACTGAACTGAACTGAGCCGAGCCGAGCCGTGCCGAATCAAATTCGCCAAAATCACTGAAACAAATGCAGTGAATGTTATCTTTCGGCGTGACATATTTTGCGAAAATATTTTAAAACTGGAAGCACTTTTTTCATTTATTCTCGTATTTTTATTGTTTTTGCTTCAGTTGAACTTTTTCATTTGAAATAAATTGAAAGCAACCGAAATTGAGTCCAATTCGCGCGCAGTTTTCAATGCCCAAACCCAAATTAAAGGACAATGCAACAAAGTTGTGCGTTATTCATTGCTGCAACACACCCAATGTATGCTGCGCGCAACAAACGAATGGGAAAAAAAATGAAGAAAAGTTAAAAAAATAAAAAAAAACAAAAAAATAATGAGAAAGTTTTTTAGGAAAGAAGAAGAAAAAAACAATAATTGTAAGTAACAAAAAAACAAAAAAACAAAAAAAAGGCAAGGGGAGAAAAGCAGTAAATTTTAATTACCTCTTCGTGATGGTACCAGAATATGTATGCTGGCGGTTCCGGGCTGAATTTGACTGTGCAAGTGAGATTTATGGTGCTGCCCTTGTCGACATGAAGGTCAGGTCCGCCAAGAATGGTGGCCGTTGGCACTGTTGACACACAAAAAGGCACATACACAGCGTGTTTAGGCATTAGTGGCAGTCGCAGTCGCAGTCGAAGTCACAGTCGCAGCCGTAGTTGAAGTACAGTTGAAGTTGAAGTAACAGTCAGCAGCAGTTAACAGTTGACAGTTAGGAGCAGCAAACATTGTACAATGCAAAAGTGTAAATACGAGTCGACGAAGCAGCAAGTGTGAGTGTGTGTGAGTGTTGCCAGCAGGAAGGAGAAGACGTTGCAAAACGACACGCATATAAAATAAGAAGAGAAGAAATGTGATATACAAATAAGTATAAATACTAAATACAAAAGGAGCACAAGTCAGTGAAGATAAAATGGCATTACTGTCAAATAAAAACAAACAAAAACAAACATTTTGGGAATAGTAACAAAATGACGGCATAAACGTAATTTATATGTTAAACAATTTTTTTCGATTGTTTATGTTAAAGTATTTTTTTATGATTTTTTTCTTCTTATTTTTATGTTATATATTTTTTTTTGTGTTTCCTACTACATCAAACAGCATAAAAATAAGGTCAAAAACATTGATGTATGGGGTAAAAACAAAACAACAAAAAAAAACTAACAAGAACTCCAAATAAAAAATAAAAAAACAAAATAATGGAATACAAAAGCATATAAAAGATATAAAAAGGAAAAATTTGATTACTCACCCACAACATTAAGGCGGACAAAATAACTACGCACGGGTTGCGTCGATATTTGACACTCATACATGCCGGCATCCCGTTTTTGCGCCCATTTTATTTGCAATGTCCAGTCATCAGTGTCCTGATGATGTGTAGCCTGAAAGCGTTGATCCGATGTATAAGTATAAGAGCCAACAGTGAGTATGTGAATATCGCGATGCCGTATCCAGGAAACCTGCAATTATATTAAACACATTACACATTTTACACAAAAGAATACGAATATACATAAACATTATATGAAGAAAAGGCAAGGAAATGTTACATATTGTTGCCACATACTAAATAAATTAAATGTACGTATCTTGAGGCTTTGCAGGAGAAATATTTTTGCATTTAAAGCTTTAATAAATTAAACCAAGTGAATGAGTGAGTATCTTCTCGTATTTGCAGTAAAAGTACCAACTCCTTACAAAAAACAAATATTATAAATACGATTTATTAAGTTGTGCTGCTTTATCGCATTCGGAGCAAATTTAATCTTTTTTGAGGTTTTCAGAGGGTTTTTATATTTACCCAGAATTGCTTTCAAGTGCTGGTAATCGTAGCACAAGCATGAGCTAAAGATATTAATGTTATAAATTTGATAATTGTACTAAAGTACGCATTAGTCTCATTTAGCTGACTGTTGTGGTTTTATTGTGTGTGCTAACAGAACACACAAGTACACACAAGTACACGCAAAGTTACTTTTAGTTAAATAATAAATGTTGTGAAAATTTTAACTTGCAAGCCAAGTACGCAAGTAAGCGGGTAACTAACTAACTTACAGGATATGAAGTTTCAACTTATTTCGTGCTTAAAAATTGTAAATTATAAATAGTTTCTCCTTTAAAATAACTCGAAACTTATGTGAGTACCCTTACAGCCAAGCAACTAACTCAAACGTAATGATGCCGAATTTTGTGTATTGAGTTACTAAATTACATTACATAATTCAAGTTGTATGTGTGTACAAACAATAGTTGCACAAACACACATTACAAATTAACAAATTATATATACATTAGTCAAAACTACGATCGCTGCTGCTCTTTCCGTGCTGTCAACTTTGAAGTAATAAAAGAAAAATATTACACGCAGTGTATATTTAACTTATGAAGTTGTTGAAAAGTTTGTTTTATGAGTGCGTATGTTCAGTGAAGGTTAATAATGGAACATTATATCTTAAGCTAAAATTAGTCTTTGTTGTGTAGGAGAATTAAATTTAATTATTTCCAAATATAATTGAAAACGATAGTTCCTAAACTTACGAGTCTTAAAACCGAAAAAGAAGGAATGCAAAAAATTTAAAACAAAATTTTTGACTGTCATAAAATATCATTAGTTTGAGAAAGCAATATTAAATTTTTTATGAAGGTAAATTAAAATTATATACTTTCAAATATAATCAAAAATAATAGTTCTTGTATTAAGCCAAAAGATAATAGAGCTAAAAAAATTTAAAATAAAATGTTTGATTGTCATAAAATATTATAAGTTTTAGAATACAATTTTAAAAAATTTACAATATTGTAATATTCTATTTTTGGTTGAACACACACTATTTTTTCACTTCAATAAAATGTGCTATGATATATAAGTTCTTTCTTAATAAAGATCTTAATAAATATCTTAAATTATATTTTAATTGATTCCTTACTTTAGTTAAATCAAGTGCAATATGAACAATGGAACCAAAAACTTAAAAATTTTCGAAATTTAATAGTTTACCATAAATGAAGCGTGAAAAAAATTTTTATTAAGAACTTTTTAATTATATTATTACTGTTTGTGGATTTCATATTGAGACCTATGGATCCATTATGCTACATTCGTGGATTTAACACTATTTTTTATGTCTTAACTTTCTCTGTAAATTGTAGTATTGAACCAACATTACAAAGCTTTATTTTTTTATCCAATATGACATGCCCATCTGTCGAGCAAACTGCTTACAGATGTTATGAGGACTATTTTATTGCACAAATAGTTTTATCTTGATATGCTTATTATTATTGTTTTCAATTTTGTTTTATATTTATTTACAATCTATCTATTAAAAAGACTGCAAGCAATTTAAATAATATCACACAACTAGACTAAGACTTTGAAAACCTTTTTAAATAATTTTTCGCTAAACAAACAAAGGCCCAGTAAGGCTTGGAGGCACACTAACGAAGAGAAACAAAATTTTTTAATGTATAACCAACACAGGGTTACTATCCTGAAGTATTCCCGATAAAGTTCCAGGGTAGAAACGGTCTGGCACATGCGGGGGATTGGTTTTAATCTGTGCACACCAGCCATACCACTATTGCGACGATATAGTGACGATACGTTGGGCATTTATTTTTAAACCCCCACTCCGTACAAAAAAAAAAAAACAAGTAAATAAATAATATCCGTTTTTTATGTAACTCAGTGTTACATAAATTTTTATTAAAGTATAACTGAACCGAAATCGTAATTTAAAAATTTTAAAGTAACTTCAGTACAAAATTTACTGTTTAACGAAACATGAAACCAAGCAGTGAAGGCAAAAGAAGGAACAATGTTAAATTAGTTGAAATTCGCAACTTCCAACTAAAAGCTGGAATAAGCGATGCAAAACAAGAGCACTTAACATTTTTCCTTAACAGAATGTTAAACAAAGTTTCTATTTATGCTGAAAAACTAAAAGCCAATTTAAAATGTTAAAATGTTGGTAATTCCAGAAGTAATACCTTCTGTGCGGTTGGCTCATTGTGTCAAATTCTTTGAATTGAAATCAAAGTATTAAAAAGTGAAAAACCTAGTACTTCTTTTGGGAAAATTTCTATTTTTCACTCAACTAAATGGAATTTTAATTTCTCAACTTAATTAAGAGAAAAAAATTTGCATAATATTTTTAAATTATGGCGAAAAATGCTTACAGTGCTCGAAGTGCGGACTAAAATTTTTATTGCAATATTTAATTAAGTTTGCATAATAAAAAATTATTACATAAAAAGGAAATAAGAACTTTTGTAAATATCCGAAGCGCATTTTGCATATTTAAATGAAGAAATATGCAAAATTATTTTCGCTTTAAGTAATAAACCACACGACTTACACGAGAGCAATGCAGCAGATTTCACTGCACAAGTTGCAATTTCCTTAAAATGCACAATTTTATGAATTATTTAAATAATTTAATACTCAAATGCGTTGCTGAGCAAATTTGAAAAAATATTAAAAAAAAAGGCAAGGTTTTTTTTTAAATTTTATTTTTTTTTTGTTTTGTTTAACCACTTCAACGTAACGCACCGCTCAAGTGCAGCACTCAAGCAAAATACAATTTCGCCATTGTTATTACCCTTTTTTTACTTTTTTTAAAATCAAAAAAAGAGTACCGAAGACATTGGCAGGCAAAAAAAACAAAAAAAATTTTTTAAATAAAAGAAAGTGAAAAACTTTTCAGCCTTGAGCTGAATGCGTCTGCAATATAAGTATTACATGCACCACCCACACATTTGCATAGGACATACAAACATACATTTACTCACGTTTACAGTTATGTATTAATGTCAAGTGCATGCCTGTATAGGTGGGTGTGCATATGCAAGAATCTGATAAGTAAATTCACAAGTGTTTTTTCCCCTCAGCGTACGACCAACTAACATAACAACACCAACGCACTGCGCATATAACTGAGCGTGAATGCGGCACGCAGCACAATGGGACAAAAGTTGCACAAATGAGTGGAGAGTTTTGAGTTATAAGAAATGAAAATCTCCAGGCTTGCATATGAAAGAGAAGAATTGTCATAGGGAAGAATGATTAACGGATAGGAAATTTTCTAAAAGATCGAGGAGTTATGAATAATAAGTAATGATTATCTCACGGCTTGCACATGAAAGAGAAAAATTGATCAATGAGTAGGAAATTTTCTAAAAAATCGACGAGATATGAATAACAAGGAACGAAAATCTCAAGGCTTGCATATGAAAGAGAAGAAACTGATCAATGGGTAAGAAATTTTCTAAAAGATCAAGGAGTTGTGAATAATAAGTATTGATTATATCAATGCTTGTACATGAGAGCGAAAAAATTGATCAATGGGTAGAACATTTCGTAAAAAATCAAGGAGTTCTGAATGAGAAGTAATGGCTATCTCACGGCTTGCATATGAATTAGAAGATATTGATCAATGGGTAGGAAATTCCCTGAGAGATCAGGGAGATAGGAATAATAAGTAATGACTATCTTAATGCTTGTACATGAAAGAGAAAAAATTAAACAATGGATAGGATATTTCCTAAAATATCAAGGAGTTATGAATAATAAGTAATGACTATCTCAATGCTTGTACATGAAAGAAAAAAAATTGATCATTGGATAGGAAATTTCCTTAAAGATCGGGGAGATAAGAATAACAAGGAACGAAAATCGAAAGGCTTACATATAAAATAGAAGAAATTGATTAATGAGTAGGACATTTTTAAAAGATCGAGGAGATATGAATAACAAGGAACGAAAATCTCAATGCTTGTACATGAAAGAGAAAAATTAATCATTGTGTAGGAAATTTCCTAAATGATCGGGGAGATATAATCTCTCTCTATATGAGAGAGATGAATGTAATCAATGGAATGAAAGTTCTTTTAGTAAACGGGGACAAGTGACTTATAAACAATGGAAATCTTATCGCTCTTATACATACGTAATCGTATGTATAATTATACGTAATCGCTCTTATATATGAAAGCGAAGAAGATGATCGTATAAGAGAAGAGAGTAAACGGTAATAAATTATAAATTACTGTTAAGTGAGTTGAAAAATACATGAGATTGTCCATTTTTGTTAAAAATCAACTCAATTGGCTAAATTCACTTATTATGATAATTTTTAGGCTTCGTACGATCACTAGTGAAAGAATTAGTTCTTGTTAAACCATGAGCCAACATATGGGACCATATTTTTTGGACCAAGAAATATTTATATTATTTATTATTACTTATTTCAATTAGTTTGTTAGAATAAACACTAAGTATTCATACATTATTATGTTCATATCTTCATATAATTATGTGGTTTTTGATTTGTAAAGTTGTAATTAAAAGTACACCATTTTGCACCTACTGTGCTCGTTATGACAATTTTACTTCTAACCACTAACTGAAACCTCTTTTTATTCATTTGTGGATTTATGTCTTAAACACCAAACATTTGAA